ACTAACATACCTTGATACATTCAAAATAGAACAGGTACTCAAAACGATGCACAATTTATTATATTAAAATTATCTAATGCTTTAGTGAAGAAATCCTTATACATTAATTATCTAATCAAATTGATTTTGATTTTACAAGCTTGTAAAGTTATATAAAATAAAATAGCTCTATAATTAAATGCAATGAACAAAAATTTTAATTGGTTATATGTATATCAGATGTAAAATATATCGTTCTTTTTAAATTAGTATGACCCCAAAATCATTTCATTACTCAGAAACATGCAAAATTATCAGATTTTATGTGAATAAGGTCATTCCCATGCAACTTAATTAATAGGTCAAAGTATGTCAAAAATGTATCGGGAATTAAATTTTACCTAACAGAAAGGATAAGTAAGGTAGTTTATTACGTGTAATAGTAAAAAATGATCAGTGAGTTTACCATTTCAGTTAAAATAATTTTTTCCTGAACTTCCTTTTTTCTGCACCGACTTGTCAAAACTTTATAAATATTAAAGTTAATAAAGTATTGTTCAAGTGTTTTCATACTTTTTATTATAGATTTCATAAGCGGAACACATTTTTTGTAAAATTTTCGTTAAATTATTTAGAATCATCTAGATGGGCAATGTAATAATTATGTAAGCGATAGGTAAAATTTAACTCTTACATATTTACTAAATTATTACATATTATTAAGTAATTTAAGAGTCATTGATTACAAATAACTATGTCACTTATATCTATTACAAATAACTATAAAGTATACTAGTTTTTAAGACCCAGGCGTTGTCTCGGTTCAAGTTTCTAATTTTTTGCTAATTCTTAGGCCTAGCTTTTAGAACTTAGCATTGTCTAAGTTTGAGTTTTTTTGTAATTAAGTCTAATTTGGATTCAAATAAAGGCAAAGTAGGTTCAAATGAACCCAACATAGATTAAATAAACCCAGATTAACCCAACGTGGGTTCAAAGAACCCGAAGTGGTTCAAATTAACCTGACATGGGTTCCAATGAACCTGAATTTAGTTCAAACCAACTCAGATTGGGTCCAAACGAACCCGAATTGGGTCCAAACGAACCCAGATTGGGTTCAAACAAATCTAAATTGGGTTAAAACGAACCAAAATTGGGTTCAAAAGAATCTGAATGATATAATTTTGAATTTCAGCCTAAATTAAGCTTAATTTGGGCCGAAATTCGAAGTAAACCTCTGCATGTTATATACAGTATACTTTTTATTGTTTTTGAAAAATCTTTTTTCTTTACTATATAAACCTCTTTTCAAGGTCTAAGTAAAGTTGTAGATGAGTTTCTTGTGATCAAATGGTGGTAAAATAGTTAAAATCGGCTTAGTGGATTGCGAGATATAAGCCTCTTTGTCTTTGCAACAACATGTCTCTTCTTAAAGAAGAAAATATATAATCATAAAGACAAAACGGTTTATATCTCATGATCCACCAGGCAAATTTTTACTTAAATTCCAAAGACTATTCCAAAAACAATAGTAAACACACTTTGTGTAATAGTGTCTTTGCCGATCCTTATGTTTGTGCCTTTAGCTCGAGATATCTCAAGAACCACAAGGCCGATTTTAACGTTCTAACTGCTATTTTGACCGCAAGAACCTCCTCTACAACTTTACTTAGATCTTGAAAAGAGGTTTACTTAGTAAAGAAAAAACTTTTTTTTTTTGAAACCTATCTTTTTAATATAAAGTCTATAAAATTTTTTTTAAAGATAATACAGACCAATAAAATACGTAGAAAAATGTTAGCAAAATTAATTAGTGACACCAAATGCCAAATATTATAGTGGAAACTAGCTTTTAAAACCCGGTCATTGACTGGGTTCAAGTTTCTAATTTTTTGCTAATTCTTAGGCCTTAATGATATCTAAATTTTAATTTTTTTTGTCTTAGTAAAATTAGTTCTTAGAACCTGGTTGTTAACCAAGTTAATTCTTGCTAATTCTTAGATCTCAACCTTAGGACCTGGTTAGTAAATAAGTTCGAGTTTCTAATATTTTGCTAATTCTTAAGACTTAATGTTATTAATTCTTAGATTTCAATTTTATTAGCTTTTAGTACCTGGTTGTTGCCCAGGTTAAGTTTTTAAAATTTTGCTAATTCTTAGGCCTAAGAACCTAATCATTGTCTAGGTTTGAGATTTTAATTTTTGCTAATTCTTAGACCTAAATTATATTAGCTTTTAAGATTCACCCTAAGTTTAAGATTTTAATTTTTTTTTAATTTTTATATTTAAAGAACCCAAATTGGGTTTTAATAAACCTGAATTTGGTTCAAAAAACCCAAATTGGGTTCAAACAAATCTGAATTTGATTCAAAAATCCCGAATTGGGTTTAAACTAACTTGTATTTGGTTCAAATGAACCCAAATTTGGTTTGAAAAACCTGAATTTATTCAAAGAACTTTGAATTGGGTTCCAACGAACCTGAATTGGGTTGCAACGAACCTGAATGGTATAATTTCAAATTTCAGCCTAAATTAAGCTTAATTCGGGCCAAAATTTAAAATTATACCCCTATACATTATATACTGTATAATATATTTTTTATTGTTTTTGAAAAAATATTTTTTCTTTACTATATAAATTTCTTTTCAAGGTTTAAGTAAAGCTGTAGAGATGCCTTGTGATTAAAATAGCAGTAAAAACATTTAAATCAGCCTGGTGGATCATGAGATATAAGCCTTTTCATCTTCATAATTACATGTCTCTTCTTTATATAAGTAAAGAAAATATATAGTCGCAAAGACAAAAAGGCTTATATCTTGTGATCCACTAGGCCGATTTTAACGCTTTTATCACCATTTTGATTGCAAGGCACTCTTCCACAACTTTATTTAGACATTTAATTAATAAGAACAAAAGAAAAATTCCAAAATCCAAAGACAATTCTAAAGACAATAGTAAATACACTTTGTGTAACAGTGTCTTTGCCGATTCTTATGTTTGCGCCTTTAACCCAAGATATCTCAAGAACCACTTGCCATTTTGACTTCAAGAACCTCCTCTACAACTTTACTTAAATCTTGAAAAGAGGTTTACTTAGTAAAGAAAAGGTTTTTTTTTTAAAACTTATTTTTTTAATATAAAGTTTATGAAATTTTTTTTAAAGGTAATACAGACCAATGAAATGTGCGGAAAAACATCCTGCTTATAAAAATTAGTGACACCAAATGCCAAATAGTATAGTAGAGACTATCTTAAGACCCAGTCGATGACCGGATTTGAGTTTTTAATTTTTTTGCTAATTCTTAGATTTTAATTATATTAACTATTAGAACCTAGGTTGTTTAAGTTTTTCATTTTTTTTTTTTTTTTTTTGTCATGTCTCAACTTAAAACTCTTTCCCGTTCATCACTCGTCCAAAGTTTATCTAAATCTGCATAACTAAAAAATTTTATTTTTACAACAATTTATTAAGATAACCTATCTTCTTGCCTTAATAAAAGTTATTCTCTATTTAAAATTACATATAGTGTTAAAGTTTTAACTAAACCGGCCCAAAACTTATTAAGCAACAGCCTTTTAGGCCATATAGGCTTCTTTTGTCCGTTTACGCCAAAACTAGCTTCTTAACCCCGTTCAAACCTAGAACAAGTTTGCTCCACACGCTCTCCTCTTCAAAACAAGCTATAATAGACCTCCATAGCTTCAATATTGACCAAGTTACAAGTAAAACAACTTCTATTTCGTTTGCTTCTTCTTATTTCTCTTTTACTTTGGGGAATTCTTTCCCAAACACATAGAGACGTTTTTTGTGCAACCCACATTGCCCCAATCGTGCTACCCACGCTCTACACACTTTTTAAATTATTGGTACTTGTTAAATTACACTAAAATTACTTAATTATTAACTAACATTGCACAATTTTAATATCTGCCTTTGGTTAGGGTCCCATAACCTAGTGGTCTAGACGCCTAATCCTCCACAGACAAGGTCAACAGTTCGATTACAGCTGGTGATAATTAATTTAATTGAATTCCGGAATTATTAAATTTCAATTTGATATAGTGAAGTACATATAGTATTCTCAATATAAGATATAGTGAAGATTTTTTCTCCAGCCTGGGGACTTCACTATAACAAAAATAAGTGAATACCTATCTGCTTGCCTTCCATATTTCCCTAATTAGCATATTGTTATAAGTTATATCTTGTACTGTTTGGTTTGGAAGAGCAGGCATAATAAATGCATAACGTAGCTCCAACCAATACTTGAAATTTTGAAAGAAGCAAAGTTTTTAATGGGCATAATAATTCTGTAATAATGTCCAATAATGATTTGGACTTAATGAAAGAAGATTACTATGAGCTTCATGCTAAACATTATTTTCTGGAACCTACTATATTTATCAGAGGCATTATCATGCTAGCCTTGTATCAATATGAATATTGCATACTGTGGGCTTTAACAATCACGTATTAATTTAGTTAGATGATCAACTACACCAAAAATGAAAAAGTTATAAAACTAATTCATTACATATTACATACATGGCTTATCTGTGATTTTTTTGGCTAAAATTTCTTTTTTGTAAAATAGTCGGCCTGGCCGACCAGGCCGCACTATATTATTGTCAGCCCCAGTCCAAAGTTTTGTTATCGGCCCATATTACTAACTATTATGTCGTATACATTTGGACTTATGGGGTTTCGGGCTCGATTCACTTAGTCAGAGCACTCACTTTGCGCACTGGCATATCGTACCAGGCACTACCACCTATACTATTATGTATACTTAGAATATGTATTCACTAAGCTAAACATTTATATTACTAATTGACTGACTGTCTTTCCTCTGGGATCGTTATGCTTTTATTAGATTATCAATCCAGGTACTTAATTACCCAGTTACATGCATTATGCAATACTTACAAATAGACTATAAATTAAATTCATGCATCAATACTAAACAAATTATCACATATATTAAAGAAAACACAAACACTAATAATAAAAGTTTTTTTTTTCACTATTGTTTTAAGCCCAAACGCATGTCAATTCGATTTCCAAATATCATATACTCCACACCATCGCAGCTGATCGTATGATCTAAGTAGATACAATCATAGAATCCTCTTTTTTTCATTTGATCCAATACGTCTAATATTTGTTCTGGATTCCAATTGTCATCAGATCTTCATGCTTTTTGTCGATTCTACCCGATTTTGGCTTTGTATCTGATCAACTTCACATAATTCATTCCTCTTCTTAATGTTATTCCATTATTCACAGCCATGGGTATTATTACTTCACTCATCACTCGTTCAACATTAGTGACAGTTTTCACATTGTATCGTATGTTGTTAGCACTATCATTAATTCCATTTATCAGCTCAAGATCATACTTTGATCCTTTTTCATTATTGGACTTTTCAGCATATTTGATTGAGTTTACATCTTTCGATTCAGATGGGTTCTTAAATTTTATAACATCAGTTTGACATTTTTCATATCCACTTATCGAACTAACCATTACTTTCCTTATATCATTGTCATCAATCTTCTTTCTACCACTATCATTCTTGCACGCCATCATTGCAGCATTCTTATCGTTCATATCAGCAGATTTTTGACAATAAATAAACATCTTACGTTCATCCTTTTCACTACCATTTCCATGATGGTAGCAATATCCAACAAAATCTTTAATTTCCTCATCCATGCACCTAAAGATCTTTATATGTTGGATTTCATTCGGATTTGTATCCTTTTTCTTTTTTTCTTGCTGATTTCTTTTCCAGCTCATATTCTGATTCTTTTCTTTAGCCATATTTATAGGTCATACTTGGGATGGACATGATTGAGCCAAATATCCTGGGCATTGACATACGTAGCATAAGCGTGGTCGATAACGTCTTCGTTTCGTTTGCAACATCTTAAAATTCTTCATGACTTCAGTCATCACCACTTTTACCATGGATTCATCCAACGTCACCAACTGATTTTCACCTTCCATCCTTTTTCCCAAGTTATGTTTGATATTTTTTTTTTTTTATTTATTTATTTTTCACTACAATGTCCTTTTGTATTTCTTAAAATACACATTCTCTCCACAATGTGTTTCGGCTTAAACTTCACTTGCCAAGTTCTTCGAACACAACTTTATCTACGAAGAAAGCGAGTAGAACCTTGATCTGCCCAAGTCCTTCCTTGTCATATACGTTTGGACTTATGGGGCTTCGGGCTCAATTCACTTAGTCAGAGCACTCGCTTTGCGTACTGGCGTATCGTACCAGGAACTACCACCTATACTACTGTGTATACTTAGAACGTGTATTCACTAAGCTAAACGTTTATGGTACTAATTGACTGACTGTCTTTCCTCTGGGATCGTTACGCTTTTATTAGATTATCAATCCGAGTACTTAATTACCCAGTTACACGCATTATGCAATACTTACAAAAAGACTATAAATTAAATTCATGCATCAACGATCACACCACTGACGTTACCCAGTTCTGATCGGGTAACCCGTGATCATACCTAACCCTAGCACTAGAAATACAAGGGGTGTTGGTCGTCACCACAACATATTATATAAATTAAAATATTTGGTTATTACAGCTGTTTTCGTAAATTCTGGAAAATATAAAAATTTTCTCATTTCCCGGAATCTTTTTGGTTTCGTCCGGTAAATTACCTAGCTCTCTGGAAACTACATCACTATTTTCGAACCTTCAGTCCAGAGACAGCGATGTAATTTCCGGAATTAGATAATTTACTGGACGAAACCGAAAAGATTCTGGAAAATGAGGAAATTTTTAGACCTAGAATTTATAAAACCAGCTGTAAATACTTCGGATTAGCTCCCGAATCAAACTGAAGTTTCGGATTCAGTCGGTTTCGGTTCGATCTCTGATCAAACCATGTTTTTTAATCCGAATCAGAACACTAAGCATTAATCATCCAAAAAATTTGCACCAACCAATAAATTATAATAAATTTTTAATACTATATAAGCGCGAAATAATCCCCGTGGGCGTTTGTTTGAAAATTGGGACCTTCAAAAATAACTTGTACGAATTAGTGTCAAGTAGCACATAATTTATTATTGCAATAAATGATATACAGTCGACACTCCATATACACATTCTCTATAAGTGTGCTTCACATGTGTTTTATATATAATGATAACGTATAGGTGCTCATGGGTGTTATTTTGAAAATCAGATCCTTCAAAAATATTTTATATTGTCTCAAATTAGCGCTCATGAGCATTCTGAATAGTGCTCCAAACGGATCGGGTTGACAATTTTTAGGTTAGATCTTCAATCCAAACCGAACCCGGCCCGAAGTTTTAGGGCTAATATAATAAATTTTTTTTTAAAAAATGAATTCAATCGCTATTTTTGCTCTTAAACGTTTAATAATTCATGTAACAATCATCAAAGTTGGCTAATCAGATATGAGCACGGTATGCTTATAAACTCAACGGGCTATTACAGTAAGAAACATGCATTGCATATTCAGAATCAACGAAAGTATTTTTTATTTTATCCTACGAATTCATGGTATATAAAAAAACTTTACTGATTTTGCTGTCGAGAAATTATTATTCGAAGTTAAAAAGAATTTGGGCGATTATTAAAACAAAGTTAGCTTTAAGTTTTTCCAAACTTTGATCGATAATACTAAGATAACTGCTCACCTAAAATCGATTTAACCTTTATTCTATGATATATATTAAATAGGTAATTGCTGAGATATTTTCGTTTTAAGTTCGAAAATAATATATAATATTATTACCAGGGACTTTTAATTTATTAACCTGAGATATCTCTCTTCGAATAATCAATCTAATTTTCGATATGTGTAATATTTTAAAGTAAAAAATCTACGTTAAAGTTAGATTAGAAATTAGTATTTTTTTTATATTAGGGAACGCAGAATGTGGTTTAATAGTCGAAATTCATGTAACCCTATAAAAAAAGTGGTCTGTGTAGGCACGTGTTTTTACGGAGAGACACAGCTGAGTGTGGAACGGGTGGATGTCCGGGTTTGTACGTCTTTGTACCGTGTTGGCACGTTAAATTAGTTCGAATTGAATTGTTTACCCGGACATTTTGGACCGTAAATGGACCGGGTTTTGCTGCACTTTACTAAACCAAAACTTATGGGTTTTGGCACAGGTAATTGCATGTAAAGTAACGAACCTTCTTTGATGGATGATGGCACATAAATTAACGAACCTTGTTTGAACACGAAATTAACGAACCTTATTAAAATACATAAATTAATGAACCTTATTCAATTAGTAGTAATACGTAAATTAGCAAACCTTCTATAATATATAACCTTTTTAATTACTGTAATACTATTATAAATAATTATGTTTATTGCAAGTATATTTTAAAATTTTTATTCAATGATGATTACTATATTTTCTACGCATTAAACTTTATTTATATTATACAGTATATGTATATGTTAATATATATATACATGTATTTTTAAAAAAATACATATAATATATTTTTTAAAGAACCTTTTGCTATTCTAGTTTACTACTGATTTAGCCTTTGAATTTTCCATCCTTTTTTTGCTAGTTGGTGATAATTTAAAATGAGTATCCTCTTTTCGGACCTATTTAGATAAGGAATCTTTTAATCTTTGATTAGATTTCTTGGAATTGGTATCACCTTTTTGTTGTGTTCGACTGCTTATTCTATCAGTGATTTGCTCAATAGTTGAGTTTTGTTTTAATGCGTCTATAATAAAATAAAATCTAATTAAATTATTGAATTAAATAAATATTAAATTAAATACTAATTCTAATAACTATATGATACCTTTAAAGTTTTGCGATAAAGTGTTTTCATATATCTCATTATCACTATTTGAAGTAGGATCAATATAACTGCCAGAAGCTGGAATGGCATAATTGCAAGAGGTAATGTGTCTGTTGGATACAGAGACAATATTATTACTAAAAGAAGGTGTTGCATAGTTATCAGAGGTAGTACTGTCACAATTTTCATAGTAATTGCTACCAAAAAATTCTGAATCATCGTTATTATCTAAATAACAATAAACTTAATTATTAATAAACCAAAATAAAATAATAATTAATATAAAATAAAATACATATTTACTATTTAAATGCATCTCTTGATCTGTTTCTTGAAATTCATTACTAGATCTAAAAGTTAAATCCATATTTTTTTGATTCATCATCATATATTTTTTAAAAATACTAGTTGCTTGTTGCACTACTTCTGGCTTATTATCGCTATTTGCAACTTGTGTATTTGGTTTAGTAATATTGAGGTTTTTTTTTTAGTTCTTTTTCTGAAATTATTGGCTATTTATAATATAAAAAATTTTATATATTAAAAAATTACATAATTAACTAATTTGATATTATTATTTTACCTCTATCATTTAATTTTTGCTTTAAAGATTCTTGTACAATCTATTTATTGGAACCAATTTGAAGCCTATGCTTAATATATACCTAAAAATAAATAAATATTAAATCTAAACTAGTAAATTCGAATTTAATTTAATTATTCTTTTTAAAATATAATTAACTTACATCTTCAACCCAACTTTCTCTAGCTGAATGCCCTAGCTGTAACCATGTTGTTAACTCTGTAATTTTGTTTGCTTCAAGATGTAGTGTAAAGTCAGCTTTAATTTTTGAAAAATAAGTTTTTGGCAACCAAGGACAAAGTTTCCATAATTTTAACTTGGATGATTGATTTTTGTTTCTTTTAGGCAGTTGCACAACTGGAATTTCAATATCAGCACGCTCTTTTTTTCTTCAAGTAGCTTATTAAGCAATCTTTTTAGTGCATCATAGTATAATTTTAAAATTTTCTATTTGTTGAACTTTTAATAATGTGTTTAAAGTTTCTGTAGATGGAAGTTCACAGTCTGTAATTTTTTGAGATAAGTACGTATAAGAAATAGGCGATGTTGTTATTGTAAACAATAACACGAAAGTAAAAGACAATATTATGTAGATCACTTATTGTTAAATTATTTATATAGATAATTATTGCAATTACATATATAGTAGTATACAATCCAAAAAAAGAAATTTAATTTTGTAAATAAACAAATTGAACGTGAAAGATAAAAAATCTAAATGCATTCTTTGATTGGCTATTTTTTTTTTCAGAAATTATATTCTTGTTATAGTACAAATAAATTAATATTGAACTTTAACTTTGCTATTAAATGAATATTCTATTAATTAGTTATACAATTAAATTTTAAATCATATCAATAAATTACTTATTCTTTTAGTTATGACAAACCCATATAAAAATGAAAAAGTAATTTGCAAATGTAAAGCCTGTCTAATAATTGATTCACAAGGCTGAAAACTTCATAAATGAATTAAACACCAGCATAAAAGGCTGAAAAATGCTTATATGATAAAAATGGCATTATTATTGGAAAAAAGTTATTATAAAAAAAAAAAGTATCTAAATTAAAAAATAATCTATGCAGAAAAAGTTTTTTTTGAAAAACGAACTCTTTCCAATGATCACTCAGTCCAAAATTCTTACAGAAGAAAAACACAAATTTTGTTGAAAAGTTGTGGCCTAATGCAGTGGTTTGTCTAGAGGTTAACGTACTGTCTAGCGGGACTCCTCTATAGGTGACATTTGGCATGTAAGCCAAGAGCGTTTTTATACAAGATAACTGGCAGGAGGTGCCCTTGTATAAAAAATTTTGGTGGAGAAGAGAACTCTTTGGACACCCTCTTTTTCCGTCAATGAAGCTCTTAGGTCATTACTTTAAAGAAGAACACAGGGAAACAACAAAATATTATGTTATTTTCTTCAAGCTGCACTCCTTTTACTTGGTCAAGTGGTACCTCTACTCTCTTTTGTCCTTCCATCGGTCTTCCAAAAAATTCCAACAAAAAGTGGAGATTTGACTTACCCTCTTTAAAAGATTAGCATTGTTTACTTCCCAAATCCAGACGAATTGGCAGAATGCAACCACGTGTTTGTTTGCAAATGAATACAGTGCTTTTTCATGGAACTCAGCCTAAGAACTCTAATTATGGCAGCAGGTGGCTTGAGACATGGGTCCTTGGACAATGGCAGCACCTGGCTCGAGATATGAATTAGGACAGGCAATGAAGCTATCCAGAGTTAGTGGAAAGTCAGAAAGTAAATTTAACATTAAGGCGAAGCTTTACAGTAGAGATATACAAATGTTGCATTTGTTATATAATTTTCATCAGCCTCACATGGGTTATAATAGTGCCTTCAGTGTTTTAGATTTTTTTCATGTTTTTTCTTTTTCATAATCAGTGTTTCTTTTTTCTTTTCTGTTTTTTCTTTTTCTTTTTAGACATTTTCGTTACTCTTTGTTGAAAAATTTTTTCCTTTTGTCTCAAGCCTCTTGAGAAGAAGGAAGAATTAGAAGGGAAAAAAAAATCCTGATGCGGTATACAACAATCTGTCAAATGATCAAGGGGGTATCCTTTGATGATACAAAATCTGAAGCAAGTTTTAGATCCTGAGTGAGACTAATAGTTGTTATAGAGGTCGCATTGGATAGTACTTAGGTATATCTGGTGAGTTTTTATTAGATTAGAACTATTCACTATATGAAAAATATATGTACTTTGTTACAGTGGATTCACATAGCAGTTCACAATTAATAAAAGCAGGATCGCTTAAAAAAATAAAAAAATAAAAAAATAATCTATGTAACAAATTATTACATGTGAAATTATATGAAAATTACAAAAAGAATGAAGAACTAGAGCAATATAGTGAATTAGAATTAATAAATAATGAAGAACATAATAAATTAGTTCAATATATTGAAGATATTGAAGATAATTAAATATTTAAATAATAATTTATATATAAATATAAATTAAGTTTAAACAAACTATATATTAAGTTATTTCATAAATAAAGTATTTAAATTTAATTTAATAATATTTATTTTAATTTAATTAATACAAAATCACCAAATGCATTTAAAGCATTACAACTATTATACTTAAAAGCAAAAAATACTTATATATCAAATAATGATTTTGAAAAAACTTTGTGAATTTTTGATTGTCATTGTCTTACTTTATATTCAACAAAAAAGATTCTTTAGGATCTAGTTAATATTGACATATTATTTGTTGATATATGCATCAATTCATGTATAGCTTTTACTGGAGAATATATAGAAGCAACACAATGCCCTATTTGTTTGTCCAACTGATTTCAAAAAGATGATATTGCTTACAAAGTAGCTGCTTATTATCCAATAACCTCTCGATTGAAATTTCAATATGCAAGTTCTGAACAATCAAAAACTTTTAGATATCGATCAATTTATATACCTAATACTAATAAATATGGAGATATATATGATGGTCAGTTATACAAAAGTTTATTAAATAAGCATTTAATAAAAGATAAGTGAGATATAATACTTACTGGAAGCTTAGATGAGTACCAAATATTCCGTCAGCAACATGATGATAATTGGATAATTATGTTTATTAATAATAATATTCCACCAGAAGATCGTGTTAAGCGAGAAAATTTATTAATTACAGCAATAATTCCTGGCCCTAAATGTCCAAACAACTTTAATAGCTTTATGCAACCTATTATTAATGAGTTAAAATAACTTGAAGGTACTTACTTATATTAAATATTAAATATTAAATAAGTTTAATTATAATTATTAATTTATAACTATTTTATAATATTGGTATTTAGATGGTATAATATGTTGGGACGGTTGGAAGCAAGAACATTTTGTTTTACATGTTTTTGTTCCAATATGGTGTGGAGATATACTAGCAATTAACAAGTTAATATGTGTAACAGGGCATAATGGATATATGGGCTGTCGATTTTGTGATATAAAAGGTGTATTTGATTCAGATGCAAGTGTAAATCATGTATACTATCCTTTGAAGCATCCTACAAAAGAAGGTGAAGAGTCATACAATACAAAGAATCTTCCTTTACATAATTATAAATCTTATTTAGACAAAGTTAAAATTTGGAAAAATGCATATGATAAAAAGAAAATTCAACAGGAAACTGGTATATTTTAGATCTTTTATTATTATTTTTATTACAATAAATTAATATTAAAGAGTTGCTTGAGAATACTTTAAATAAATAACCTTTATTCTAATTTTTATTTAAATATTTAATATCTTATACAATTATTTATTTAGGCATAACTGGAGAAACTATTCTATTTAAATTAAAGGCTGTACAATTTCCTGCTTCTTTTCCATTAGATATAATGCACTTAGTATTTGAAGGTGCTGCAATGCAAATGTTCAAACACTGGTCTGGAACATTTTACTTTGACAAAGCTTTAAATAATCCTGATATTAATCCACAAGTTTTGTCTAAAAAAAAATTGAATGTATAATGGAAACAAACAAAAAAGCAATGCCATCAGAATTTGGTCGGCCTCCATTAGATATTGCTAAACATTCAAATACATTTAAGGCAGAGAATTGGGTAAATTGGATTTGCTTATATTCAATAGCTTTAATACAATATTTTTATGATAAAAGGTATGTTTAAATATATTTAAACTATTAAATTTAAAATTTTATTTAATGTTCTTTTTTAAATTCGGATTTAAGTAAAGAGAGAATTTTAAACAAGCATTACAAAATATAAAATAATTTGAATATTGTAATTGGCTTGTTTAATCTAAAAAGCAGATACCCGAAAAAAGAAAAGAAAATTAAATGAATTAGCTTTAGTTTAGTAATAACTATAAATAATTAATCTTTTATTATAATAGTTTTGTAGATAACTGGAATTTATTTGTAGAAACTGCACAAACTATTATTAAAAAATCTATTACACATGAACAATTACAATATTTGGGTGAAAATTTCCGAGCATTTTTTAGATCATATATTACTATATGTTGGCAAAGATATTAAACGCTTGCCAGCATTTCGAATTACCTTTTATTATTTGCTTCATATACAAGCCTGTATCGAGAATTGTGGGCCATGCTGGGTATATTGGCAATATCCAATAGAATGGTTTTGTGGAATGCTTCAACCAATGGTTCAATTTAATCTGCACCCATATAAGAATTTAATGAATAATGTCTTACTGCTAGATCAGTTTTATTATCTTCGATTTGTACCAACTATATATACAAAATTTTTTCCTATAAATCCAACTAAACAGTATTATCCACAACAAGTTGTTTGGATTGAGAATGGCGGAGAAGAACTTCGGGCACCAAAATTAGATTATACTTTAAATGATATGGAATTTATAGCATTATCAAATTTTTATAAAGCTAATTTGGATGAAAATATTGCGGAGGTAAGTTTTATTTAATATAAATTCTACTATTAATTGTTGTTCTAATACATTATTATATAAGTTAAATGACTGGGAAGTAAAATATTCCAAATTGCGAACCAAAGAAGGTTATATGCTTGGTTCTTTGATGTCAAAAGTAGTAGCTAATGCACGCAACAATTCATGTGTAATGGTTAGTAATTCTTACTAAATATATTTTTTCTGTATATTTAGAAAATCTACTTATCTGTAATTTATATATTTAAAAAAGTATGAACTTGAAACCAATATTGCTAGGCCAAAAGATCCAGAAAAGTATGAATTGCGAAAATACTTTGGTTGTGTTTTATTATGTGTTTCAAGGAAAATATCAATTGCTTGCATATATTCACAATGTAAAAAATATGCGAAAAGGATCATATAACTTATATAATTTTGAAGAATTCGGTGAGTATGAGTTTGTAGATGTATTAACAATACGAAGATGTGTAGGTTTTTTAAAGTTAGCAAAGTATTCGTATGTTATAGATAAGACAGATCACTTCGATATGTAATTTCAAATTAATTTTTTTTTGGTAAACAAATAGAACTATTATTGAGGCAAAATAATTTCTTCACATATACTGTACATTGGCCAAAATAATATATAGATGTTGAAGTAGTTTTAGAATATTAGCAGATTCGGAATCAACTTAAAATTGATTCTGAATTAACTTAAAATTCTAAAATAACGAACGTGAATTAAACATTTCAGTGAATAGCTAAAACTCTCAATATGCAAATAATCTAAGTTCATATAAATGGCAAATCATTAACTGCAACAGTAATGACATCTACTAAAGATTTTCTTTCGTTTGACTAAATTTGGAAATTTCAAAATAAAGATTAGGTAGGTATTTTTTCTTATAATATTTGCGAAACAAAAATTGACTGAAATAACATGTGCCATCCCATACAATATGCACACAACATCCATCTCATGCAGTTCTATAAAGTATTCGTGCTTTTGACACTTGCCATTATATAATATAAAATGTGCATATACGTTTCATCTTTCCTGCAATCACGTATATTGTACGTGTATGCACGTGGATTATAGCCCGTGCCAATAGTGAACGTGCTCATACGTGCCAACCAATGCACGTGCCAATACCGTAAAACGGAATATACGTGTCATTATGACACGTTTTGGTTCGTGTTTCATGCCTTTACGTGCCGTATGACACGTGCCTATCAGGACAACCCCGTGCTAACCCGTACCAACACCCGGACCACTTTTCTCATAGGACAGAAACAAAGAACTGCAACAATAGCTACAAACTAATTCTACTGTATAAAAAGGGTACGTCTAAATAAACAATATAATAATTTTGAATTAATTAACTATAAATGGGTTAAAACAAAATCTTCATCTAAAGCTACTACACGATGTGTATTTCTGAAAATCAAACTGATTGAAAAGACAAACTTTGTAAAAGCTTATTTCTAGAAAATAATTTATTTATACAATTGGGGGTTTCAGAATTAATGATTTGGCGTCCGATTTCAGATAAAATTTATTTCAAAATAAGCAACGTGTAAATTCTATTTTTTTTAAAGTATGTACTTATTTACATAATCGTTTACCGATGAATGTTTATCAAAAAAAAGCCAATTTTATCACCGACTATGCCTATTTAATTTTTGATTCGGAATTCTAAAAAAGAAAATAGGTCCTTTTAAACTCTCACTTATTTTGAAAAAAGTTAATTTAATAATGCAGGTCGAATATGGAAAAGTTGTTTACATGGTTCAATGCAAAAAAAATAAAAATAAAAACAAGACGAAATAAACAACTAACTTGTAAAATAAATAAGTTTTAATCCGCATTCATCGAAAGGCTCATATGACGTGTGATATTATACGACAATATTATGTCCTATGTCCACTGCGACAAAGAGTTTTTTTATTTTATTTATTTTTTAAATAGACAATGTTTTTTAGTCGGTTAATAACGATGGTTCAAACGGGTCAATATCAATGTTGTTGCATCCTTAACAGTTACCACCATACCAATCAATTCTAAAACCTCATAGTATTTAAAGAAACAGTAAAAGTAATTGATTCTATAGTTATTAGAAGCTTTGCGTTGGAAAGTTGAAACTTAGTTTGATTTTTATTGTCATAAATTTTTAAAAAGAAGAAATGTGAACCGGTTAAATTAGCGAAACTGAAGAAAGGTAGTAAAAGCAGATAAATAATTACAAGAGGTAGTAAAGAAATGAAAATAAAAATGATTATCCGATATCTATATAATATTATTTATTATTTCGAAAAATGTTTCTTAGAAAAAACTTTTTTGCCTTTTTCTCATCATTTTATAAAACACCGAATTAATTGGTCTTAAAGTAATTGACTATGCTAATTTCATTAATAAAACACGTTGTTGACTGGTTTTCTTTGTCTCTTTTGTAGATGGATAAAATCTAAATGATACACTTGTAAAGAAACAATGCAAGTATAAAAGACCAACATTTTTACGATAAGGTCATAATAGAGATTGGACCCGCAAAGATACATAGATTTATTAATTTAAACAATCTTACTAAATCGTAGTTTTACTTCGAATATAATACGTAAGTGTCACTCATGTTCGTTTTACGTTCTTAGCAGTATGTTAACATATTAATTTATAAATTATCAAAATTCTTTAAAAGCAGTAATAGATACTTTATTTAAAGACAATAATAAATAAATAAAAAGAGAGAGAAAATAAAGAAAAAACTACAAATAATTGATTCCTTTTGTTTAATTGGTTTCGATAAAAATTGCTCTATGCTTTTCTGATATGTTTTGTATAGTCATCAAATATAAATTTTTATCAAAATTTTTTTAAAAAATGCACAATCTGACAATAAGTAAATTTGAATCGGGTTTAATTTCTTTGTTTAAACACATTGTTTCAAAAATTTTTTTAACTGATAAAGTTACATCTTTTATTTGGCTTAATAAACGGCTTCAAATTCGTAGGAAGGCACTTTCTTTTTAAATTAGTAATTACATATATCGTACACATAATTTAAAATTCAAACTACCGGTTTACCGATCAGTTTATAAACAATTACTTCAAAATTAGTGAATGTAAAGTTGCTCTGCAAAGTCATAAACAAATCGTCTTAGAAATCAATTTAACA